GACAGTTGGAAGCGCATCGCATCTCTGGCTGAGGAGCGGCGGGCGCTGCCGCCGCGGCGCTCTCTGGCGCTCTCCGGGCCTCCTCCGCCGCCGTTGCATCGGCGGCCGGACCGCCTGACGGGGTTTTTCGTTTCCGCAGTCGGCGTCCTGGCGCAGCCGCGGCATTTCGACATGGTCGCGCCCTCGCGGCCCCTGGCCGCGCCGCAGCCAGCTGCCGCGTCCGAGCCAGCGCTGGCGCCTCGCGCGCAGCCGCGCCCTGGCCCGAATTGCGGCGCGCATAGGGCCAGGGCCGCGACGAGAGCTCGCATCGCGGCCGCTGGCGCCCCTGGCGGAGGCGTCCCGCCAGATCGCGTGGATGGCGTCCCGCGGCCGGGGGGGGGCAGAAAGGGCAAGAGGTCACTCTCGAGGTCTTCGGATTCGATGGGGGGCGACGCCCGCTGGCGGAAGGGCGCGATGCAGTCTTCGACGTTGGACTCGCCGCCGTCTGCCGTGGGCTTCCGGGAGTGTCTACAGGGCGCTCGGTGGAGGTGGGCGCGGCAGGCGAGCGCGGCAAGCGTGGTCGCAGCGCGTCGAGACCGTCGCGACATCGCGGAGCCCGAGGCGCTAGCCCAGAAACAGAGGAGGCGGGGCGACCTCGACTCCACGCTTGCCGAGGCCGTCTTGGTCATCGCCAGCGTCGGCCTGAAGCGCGAGCTGCTGATTTGCCGCGAGGAGCGGTCGAGGATGGACTTGCCGCTCTCCGGCCGTTGTGCGCTCTGCATGGCTTATTGCAGGTGCGCGGTCGAGCGCGGACGTCGCCGAGCGCGTTCCACTACTCGCAAAGTGCCCACTTGCAAACGCCAGAAAAAACACGTCTGCGTCGATGTAATTTATCGCAGATCCCCCGCGGCGGATCCAGGCCATTTACGAGTGGCTACTCTACGGGTAGCCGAACGCGCTCGTCTAGGACAGGCGTTGTCTGTCGATTTCGCCGCCGCGGTGAGCCCCTGGCTCGGTGGGGGCCTCGAGGGCTCTCTGAATGCTTGGGACTGCGCTCTGCGTGGCTCTGGCCGCGGTGCCTGGCGAGGACTTGTTGCGCTCGCTCCTCGAATGACAGCTGCGGATGGCGCAGGGGGGCTGGGGCCCGCCTTGTTAGCGCGCGACGCTGCGGGGGAGAGCGCAGCTTCCCTTTGCGGCGCCGCGCTGCGCGAGATCGCGCGGCGCCGGCGCGGACAGGTCGAGGGCGACTCGATGAAATTGCATCGGAAAGCCGCCCCCGCCAAGGCCGCCGCGGCCGCTGCCCCCGCGGCCGCCGCCGAGGCCGCTGAGGCTAAGGCGCCCAAGCGACGCTGCGTGTCCGCCCTGGCAAGACCTGCCAGATGTTCGCTCGCGATGGTCCGCGCCGAGTCGGCGCGAATTGCATGCGCGAGCGCTTCCCCGCCGCCGCCGCGGCAAATGCCGAGACCGAGGCCAAGGCTGAGGTTGCTGCCGAAGCCCGGGCTGAGGCCGAGGTGCAGGCGAAGGGGGAAGCGGCGGTCGCCGCCTCACCTGCCGCGGCTGCGGCCGGACCAGACGACCAGCCGCCGCGCCGCTTCTGGGCCGTGGGCGATCCGCCAACGGCGAGAATTGCGCGTTCAAGCACGTTGGCCTTGTCGCGGCGAATGTACTGGGTGGCCGTTTGCTGCGCCGCCCCGGCCGCTGGCGGAGTTCGCTTTGGATTCCGGCGCTGGGAACGACCTGGCCCCCCTGGGGGCCGAAGGCGCCCGCCGCCAGCGCGACGACTTTTGCGTGCTGGGCGCGGCGAGCGGCGCAGTCGCACCCGAGACCGCCGCGACAGTGGGCCTGGGTGCGCTGAGCGAGGATGCCGAGGGTACCGAGCTGTGCCATTCTGGTGCTCTCGCTCTGGGCGCCGCCCAGCCCAGCTTGGCTGCCGCTTCGCGCGGTGGACATTCGTTGACAGGCCCAACTACTACGCCCCCGAAGGCTTGCACGTCGACGTCCGCGTGGGGAACCTCGCGCCGAGCCGCCCCGGCCAGCCTGCCGGCGCATGCCGACAGGCGCGATGCACGCCGGCCGCAGCCTCCGCAGAGGCTAACCATACAGCCTGCCGCGGCGGGAACCGATGGAGCGGCGAATGGGGCAGCCCGCGCCGCGGCACGGGCCGCCGCTGCGGCCGACCGCGCGGCCCCTTCCGCTGCGACCGCGCGGCCCCTTCAGCTAATGCTGTTGCCCTGGGTGCCGCTGCCGATCTCGAGGAGTCGCCGAGCGCGCCGCCCTCGCCAGTTGCGCCCGCCGCCAGCGACGGCGGCCTTGACGGGGCGGCGCAAGACTTCGAGCGCGTTCCCAAGGGTGGCCCAACCGAGCGCGACGCTCAGATGGATCGGGGGGGGGGCCCGCTGAAGCGCGGCGTCCGCGAGGGTGACGTGGCGACCGACGCTCCGATCCACGGCGGCATGCAGTCCATCCACCACCTCTCCGCGCGCCCGCCGAAGTGCCCGCCCGGCGCGCGCGCGGGCTGCGACTTCGGGAAGGCGGCGCAAAGCCGCAGCCCGCGCCGCCCTTTTCCTGCCGCGGAGTTTCGCGGGGCCCTCGGGCATGTGGGCCGCGTCCTAACGGAGCGCGGTGCAGAGGTGGGGAAGGCGTCGCCCTTTATCTTGCGCATCCTGGACGAGTCTACGGAGTTCTCTTCGCCGTCCCGGGCACGTCGCCGGGGCGACGAAACAGTGCTCGGTGGCGCGGTCATCTCCGACTCCGCCCCGCCGCAGATTCGGGGGCGGCGGGCCGACCGCGAGCCCGAGTGCAGGGCGGCAGCGCGGGCTGCGTGCAGCCGACGCCCTTTCGCGCGCTATCGGCCGAAGCCGCGCTGGCTTCGGGCAAGCGGCAAAACCGAACGCGTGAATCGGGTGGCGGCTGAAGGCGCGCGACGTGCCTTCGGCCAGCCTGGCCTGGACAAGCGCCGGTGGCCACTCGCCGAGCGGCGCTGGACCGCGAACTACAACGGTGCCGTCGAGAACGATGCCGACATGGCTTAACAGGCAGCGCCGCTCCGGAGAGCCAGCCCCCTTTGTCTTGTTGCATCGTGTGAGTATTTTTGGAGCCTTGTATTTATGTTTGCTCGGCTCATTTTTTTCGCTCGGGCGCCGCCGTCTCCCGACGGCCCCCGTTCGAGGCCCCAGGCGTTCGCTGTGCCCCTGAAACGCACGCCCTATCACATTTCATGCGTAGTAGCTATAGCTCATGCTCGCATGTCAAATCATTTTGCAGCATGCCATAGTGTATCATCTCATATCAGATCATACTATGTCATATTATCGCTGCAACAGCTCGTTTTCCAACTCCTCATTGGTTCGTTGACGTTTCGACGGCTTGCGCCGCCGCCGATCAGAAGTTTCGCGGTGTCGCGTACAGGTGCAGATTGTTAGGTCGTGTAGTTTGTCTGTTGGTATAGTTAATCGGGGCTTCTCCTTGGATTTAACTTGTCCCCGAAAGGTGCCCGAGAGGCTCCGAAACCACCTCCTCCTCCTCCTTGTCATATGTTCCTCCCCTACTCGCATGCTCTTCCTATCCCGGCACTAGTCCATTAGATGGCGATGCCGGGATAATGATATGATCAAGTTCTAGGGGCAAGGCTATGGTCGTCAGTCCAGCGTTCAACTTGAGTGCGGCTTCGGCGGCCTTCCTGCCCGCGGACGGGGTTCCTGGGGACAATTCGAAACCCACGGTTGCTCGAAAAGCGCTGCGTTGATTCCACGAGCCTGTAATGCATGCAAAACTTGCGCGTGAGTTCCGAGACCCCCCACGGCTACTCCAACGCACCCCCAGGTTGCATTGCCTGGAGTTGCAGGGGTGGAAGGGAAGGGGGCACAAGGAGGGCCACCTGGACGGGCAATGACCGAGCTTGGTCGAAAAACGACCCCACCAGCTGATTGTGCTCCCTGTCCGCCTGGGCCCGCTCTTTCAGGGTTTTAGCGGCTGCTGGTCCCAAATGAAAGCCGGGCGGCCCGGGCCACTGGCGTCGCCACTTGGTTCCAACAGGTCCCCCTCCACCACGGGTTGAAGCTCCTGTCCGCGATGTAGTTCCAGGCCCAGGTCTTTGGGCCGTGGAGCGGGGGCGGGAGGGAGGGATGGGCTCTGGGGCAGGGCGAAGGACCTTCCTCTGCCAGGGCCTCTCGGCGAACGGCGCCGCGTTGCAGCGCTGACCGCGGGCCGCGGCAGGCTTTGGAAACATTACTTGATGTGCAGCGCTGCCTCCTTCGCCCGAAGGAGGGTCCCGCCCCGCGTCCGCCCGTTTTGCTCTCCCTTTTCTGCGCACCCCCTTCACACCTCCATCTTCTTCGTTTCCTCCATCTCCTCTCCCTCTTCCTTCACCTCCTCCTCGTCCTTTCCTTCTCCTCGCCTTTCTCTTCCTCCACCTCTTCCTCTTCCTCCTCCTCCGCCCCAAACATGTAGATTGATGGAGGCTTACCTTGCATGGGGATTTGGGGAGTCCGGTGAGCAGGGTCGATCACTTAAATTTCTGAGGGAATCTTGTTTTTTTCTGGTGTGCTAGTGTTCACTCGCTGGTAGTGCGCTGTGGTGCAGTATATATATATATGTACGTATATATATATGTTTATATATATATAAACAGATTGCATCGACACTCGGACAGCCCCCGTTTCTCATGACTACCCACCACCACCTCCCCGTCCTGCTCCTTTTCTTCCTCTCCATTGTAGCTCATCTTCCGCCTTCTCTTCGTTCTTTCGGTTCTCGTCCTCGTGCTCGTCCTTATCCTCCCTCTCTCTTTCCCTTCCCCTCCTTCTTCTCATCCTCCCTCTCCTCTTCCTCCACGAGCAGGAAAGGAGGGATGAGAGGGAGGAGAGGGCGAAGGATAGGGCAAGCTAGGTGCGTTTGCGCCTCATCTGACATCCTATCCGTCCCTTCCATCTTTTCCCATGCCGCTATATTTCTCTACCCGCGGATGCGTGTCATAGCCGACTTGCGACTCACACAGGAAAACTATTTCGTCTTATGTGAAATTGGAAAAAGGGGAGTTGCGTGCACAAGAGACGGAGGAGGAGGAGGAGGAGGAGGAGGAGGGGGAGGTTGCGGGTAAGCAGGAGGATGGGCGGGAGGAAAAGGATTAACACGAACAGCAGCAAAAGGATTTCAAGCGGAAGGGTTTGGAGGGAAAGGAGAACCAGGGGAAGGCGGAGGAGGGGAAATGAGGGGTGCGACAATGATGAAGACAGATTCGGACCCGCGCTGGGACGCGACGAAGAGCAGCAGCAGCAATAACTGGAGTGGAAGGAGCGGGAGGAACAGGAGGACCAGGGGAAGGCGGAGGAGGAGAAATAATGGAGGGGACTACGATGAAGCAAGGTTCGGATTAAGAAAAGCGGCCCGCGCTGGGGCAAGAGCGCCATTCTGAACGACGGGAGCAGCGCGCCGATCCGAAAACGAGGCCCACGCTGCAGCGGGAACACCATTTCGAAACACCAGCAACACTAAACTGTGAACAGCCGTTGAACGATTTACTGGTGAACTCTGGGGTGCAGAAAAGACACGGCATGCGGAGGGGGCGGAGGGGACTGGACAACTTCAGGGGAGGAGGGGGAGTCGTATTCACAGTGCTTAATTGTAGAAGGAGATGAGGATGAGGAAGGAGAGGATCATTGTGATGATGCGGATCAGGATGGGGACGGGGATGAGGCTGATGATGATGATGATGATGATGATGATGATGATGATGATGATGCTGATGCAGATGATAGCGGTGATGATGATGGAGAGTACGAGGTTGATGGTGATGCTATTGATGGTGCGTCTGCTGCATCTGATGATGCTACTGTTGATTATTGGGGCGACGAAGGCCATGATGATGATGGGGGTCGTGCTGACAATGATTATGATGATGGTGCTGACGAGTATGATGATGGTGATGCCGATGACAATAACGATGGGGATGACGACGACGATGATGATGATGATGATGATGAGGATACTGGTGATGCTGATGATGATGGCGATGGTGATGTTGTTGATGATGCTGAATGTGATGTGGATGAGGGCGAAGAGAAGGAGCAAGATGATGGTAACAATGAGGCTGCGGGTGATGATACAGCTGCTGGCGGTGATGGTGGTGGTGATGGTAGTGGCGATCCTGTCTTGTGGGGGGTGGGGGCTGGGGGAGGCGGCTGATGATGCTGATGACGATGATGATGGTCATGATGATGGTATCAATAACGATGGCGATCAGATGATGATGGGGAGGATGATTATGGCGATGATGCTGATGTTGATGATGATGTTGATGACGAAGAGGATGATAATGCTGTTGATTATGCTGCTGATGATTCCGATGATGATGCTGATGCTGATGATGGTGATGCTGATGCTGATGGTCATGTTGATGTTCATGGTGATGGTGATGCTGATGCTGATGAGAACGCTGATGACAATTGTAAGGATGATAATAGGGATGACGAGGATGATGATGTTGTTGATGATGGTGGGTATTATGCTGATCATAGTGATGATGATGCTGATTTTGATGACGATTCGGTTGATGTTGATGATGATGATAAACCTGATGACGAGTATGAGGATGGTGATGATGGCGAGGACGATGCTGATGCGTATGATGATGGTGATGAGGATGAGGAAGAGTATGGTCATGATGATGCCGTGCATGACGATGCTGATCTTCATGGTGATGATGGTGTTGTTGATGATGATGAGGATTATGCTGCCGACGATGATGATGACGATGACGATGACGATGACGATGATGATGATGATGATGATGATGATGATGATGATGATGATGATGATGATGATGATGATGATGATGATGATGATGATGATGATGATGATGATGATGCTGATGATGATGATGATGCTGATGATGATGATGATGATGATGATGATGATGATGATGATGATGATGCTGATGATGATGATGATGATGATGATGACGATGCTGATGATGCTGATGATGATGACGATTGCGATGATGATGACGATGACGATGATGACGATGCTGCTGCTGATGATGATGATACTATGATGATGATACTGCTGATGATGATACTGCTGATGATGATGATGGTGGTCCCATAGGGAGCTCCACCGAAGGCGCCAGCTGCAGGGTTCGCATGGCGGCCTCGGGCCATTGTGGCACACCCCTCGCGAAGATCGTGGCCACATAGGGAGCTTCACCGAAGGCGCCAGTGGCAGGGTTCGCATGGCGGCCTCGGGCCATCTCGGCACGCCCCTCACGAGGATCGTGGCCCCATAGGGAGTTCTACCGAAGGCCCCCAGTGGCAGGATTCGCACGGCGGCCTCGGGCCATTTCGGCACACCCCTCACGAGGATCGTGGCCCCATAGGGAGCTCCACCGAAGGTCCCCAGTGGCAGGGTTCCCATGGCGGCCCCGGGCCATGTCGGCACACCCCTCACGAGGATCGTGGCCCCATAGTTGTGCTGCTTCAACATCCGCGCCTGGGCGTCGTACTCCGCCTTCTCGACGTGCACCGA